TTTATGTGTTTATTGAGGTTTCCCTGGTAACCAAATGATTTGTGACAAATATCACATTCAAACGATTTAATGCGATCATGTACTGCATTGACATGACGCTTAAGAGCTACTGACCGTCCAAATGATCCGTGACAAATATCACACTTGAAGGGTTTGCTACGTTCATGAACTGTATTGATGTGAGATTTGAGGTTGTCTTTGTATCCAAATGATTTGTGGCAAATGTCACATTCAAAGGATTTACTGCGATCATGTACTGTATTGATGTGAGATTTGAGGTTGCCTTTGTATCCAAATGATTTGTGACAAACATCACACTCGAAAGCTGTGCTACGATCATGTACTCCACTTATGTGACGATTTAAGCATTGCTTTTGTCCAAATGATTTGTGGCAAATGTCACATACAAAGGGTTTTTTACCATCATGTGCAGCATCGCTATGAATTTTTAAGTCCCATTTATGTAAAAAGGATTTGTGACAAATGTCACATTTGAAAGGTTTGTCTGCATGTACTACTTTTACATGTTTATTGAGGTAACCTTTAAGACCAAACGATTTTCGACAAATTTTACATTCAAAAGGTTTTCTACGATCATGTACAGTATTTATGTGTTTATTGAGGTTTCCCTGGTAACCAAATGATTTGTGACAAATCTCACATTCGAAGGGTTTGTTTCTAATATGCACTACGTTGATGTGCTTTCTGAGATATGTCTGGTATCCAAATGATTTATGACAAATGTCACATTCAAAGGGTTTGCTCTGATCATGCACTGTTGTAATGTGAGATTTGAGGTGGTTCCGGTATCCAAATGCTTTGTGACAAATCTCACATTCGAAGGGTTTGATGCGATTATGTACTGCATTTGTGTGTATATTGAGATTTTCTTTGAGCCCAAATGATTTATGACATATGTCACATCCGAAGGGGTTGCTCTGAATATGTACTGCATTGAGGTGACGTTTGAGGACACTCGATCGTCCGAAGGATCTGTGACAAATCTCACATTCAAAGGGTTTCCTACGATTATGTACGACATTCATGTGAGTTTTTAACGTATTGTAGTGTCCAAATGACTTGTGGCAGATGTCACACTCGAAGGTTTTGCTACCATCGTGTATCGTATTTACATGAGTTTTAAGATGATATTTCTGGGCGAATGATTTATGACAAATGTCACATTTGAATTGTTTGTTATGTGAATGTACTTCATTTATGTGAGTTTTAAGGGTGAATTGTGCGGGATTTTCTGATTGTCCTTCTAAACTGTTTTGATTTTCACTTTTTTTTTTCGCTACTGGCAGATAATTTTGATACTCGGATTTGCAGATGGTTGTTGAAAGAGACGTCGGTTCAAGTTTCTCATACTTGCACTCGAAATCTATGAAAATTTTTTCGTCCAACTGTTTTTGTACCGTAACCTCACTTTCTTTTTTTACTGTTGGTAGATAATTTTGATACTCGGATTTGCAAATGGTTGTTGAAAGAGACGTAGGTTCAAGTTTCTCATACTTGCACTCGAAATCGATGAAAATTTTTTCGTCCAACTGTTTTTGTACCATAACCTCATTCACGTGATTAACCTAAAATTTAAATTTTGTAAAGTTTTGGTTAATGAAAAATCAGATCGCAATGAAAATCATTGAACTCACTGATGGTTCACGAAAGTTCTTGATTTCGCGACAGTCTATCGACTCGAAATTATTATCATCGTATGCATGTGGCCAAGAATCATTAGGCTCTTCTTTCACGCTACAAAATTTGAAAGTTCGATGAGTCAATCGCTTGAAAAAAAATCATGGCTTGATAATAAAATGTATACCTGACTGTGTTCTCTATGCTTTCCATTACTCGCTTGGTTATATATATTTTAAGTTTAAATTTTCACGATTTTAACCGAAAAAATATTTGAGGTTAAACATCTATTGAGTAGGCAACACTGTAATACGAATTCGCGAATTTTCAAACACTTGCTCACTGCAGGAACTCCGCTTCGTACTAACGAGTAAACTCATCTGTGTATTAGCGAGGTGACCCCTTGATAGAGATAGCTCCTTGACGACACTTTCCCCCTCTTAACTGTTGACTGGCCGTACGCAGTAATGTACTGCGATACGTAGAGGCATTCGCACTTCGTTAAAACCACTCTAAAATTAAAATTTAAAATTCATTCATCCAAGCGCAAAATTTGTTTAAAAGTACATGCGCTATACGAGAAGAAAATTTCTTACAAAAAAGTATTATATAAAATAAGTACGTCAAGGTGGATTCATTGAAAGTGGTTGACATTTTTTTTACCGGCAATAAAGTGTCATAATTAAAAAAAATCTTTTTATTTCATAAAATAACCATTAATTCACCGCTCTCGACATTGTTTCGTCCGATACAAATTCAACAACTCATCAATTTTAATAACTTTTTAACGTAACAACTATCTTTCAACTCAAATCCCAAAAATCGAAAGCCAATCATAGCGTTACATATACAAAATTTACAATTAATTTCGTCATATACGTAATTATGATATTACGGCGGCAAGTGGTTATTATATACTGGCCCGCGCGTGAGTGCGCGCTTAATACGTATATATATACCAGCGGCTACCGTAATAATGATCGAGAATGCGAATTAATTTGTCGGTGCTCGGAAACCCGTGTCGGATATGCGCCTGCCGCGTATTATATACATAAATGATCGATGAACGTCTATTATGCTTTCCTTTTGATAATACACATTGTGTGAGAATCTCTCGTGCGCGCACGCGGGATAATACGTAACCCGCGCGCGTACGCGACTTGTAAACATCTCGTTGCACAATAATATTTATATACATATAAAGAAAGAAAGAAAGAGAACGAGGAAGCGACGAGGATGGCAGCAGCAGCTCGTGTATACGCGTGCTTTATCGAATGATAATCTCTTAATTTTTATATACATTTTTTTTTCGTAAAAGCGAAAGTTATAAGCCGTCAGCGAATAATTTATAATGTATACACCGTACCGCGCACTGCATTAGAGCGCACGGCATGAAAAATTGAATCGCACCTCGCTACCGAGAGAGAAACAACTGTAAATATTATTACGTATCCTCGCGATGCGCATGCTAGCAGAAGCGGCATATATAAATATAATAATATCAGCGACACGTCGACGCGACGAGCTCTCTTGATAAAAGCTCAACACGCTCGACAGAGAGAGAGAGAGAGAGAGAGAGATTGTAAAGTGCGAGAAAAAAAATCTCACAATTAGCTCGGCTGTATATCACACAGACTCTGCGCAGCGTGCTCCGTGTTGTTGTTGTTGTATATACCTACAAACACGAGGACCAATTTGTCGTGCGTCTTGTTCAGCTCTGCGCACAGGGATATGTATTATATTATGTTATGTGTATGTGTGTAGCTCCGACGTAGACGTAGAGCCGAGGATCGAATCGACTGATATCGTATATCTGACGCGCGTTAATGAATTCGCCGCAACGCGTGTGAAAAATATGCTACACATACGTACATATCGCGCATACGTACAGCCACACGAGGCTTAGAAAAATAACGGTACGTACCTCTTCGCGGTGTGTAAAAAAAAAAATGAAGAAGTTTACGCGCTTCCGCGTTTTACAATGAAAGAGCCCCACTATGTGTGTCTGTATCTGTGTCGTGCGCGAAACTGCAATATATACCAGACACGCAGTGCATGGCTCGAGTCGAGTCGCGTAATATCTCGCGTGCACGTGACTATATACCTACACATGTGCAAATCGTGTGCGCGGCTTGCGATATAACTATTCTGCGTAGTGGTAGTACGCGTTGTACCTTCGACCGAGCTACAGGCGCAGGATAATTGGCTATCTACGCGGTGATGAATTTTCGACACTTGCCTCGAAGACAATTTCACCCCGATGTCGCGTAGAGAGAGAGAGGAGAGAGATCATTGCAGATTTCAGTCAAACCTTTTTTTTCTCGTTTCGCGAGATAGGTACACCACACGCACACATTCTACGCATAATATATAAATTCGCAGCTCGTTATATCGCTCGAGGCCTCTGTATAAAGTGCCATAGATAGCCTTGGGGGTCTGACTTTATAGAAAAGAGAGAGAGAGAGAAGCTTTCGAGCGACACATTCGCGAAATCCATTCGATATACACCGTGTAGCTGCTGCTGCTCCATAGATCGGAGCTAGCTCAGAGTGGCTCTGTGTGTATGCATTTTATTATGCGTTGACAAAAAAATCTCACGTATACATATAGTCTCGCGCGGTGTCAGGGAAAACTTTCTTCTTCGAGATTTTTGCTGCCCCGAGTACCTATATACATCGGACGTATCTATATAATATAATGCCAGGTACGGCTTATCCAAACTCATGCACTCGCGTACGTATACACACGCACGCACCACACGTATACCAAAGGATCGATTATTATTATACATGCGTGAAAGCGAGCCCGTGGGCGACACACACACGAACTACAACTACGCCAACTTTTTCCTTCCTTGTCAGCAATGCAGCAGCGGCAGCCACCGCACGTGACCCTCTCTATATTATATTATACTATATACAGCTTGCATGCGCGCCTCGATTGCATTATAAATGCTGTATTAAAAGTGAGATATAAATACGGATTTAACGTTATGGGCATTTCATTGGCCGATTATATATACCTATATATATAACGCTGTCTCTTTATACTACTACTGCCGAGCAAAGGCAGCGCGGGAATATAAGCTCTGCGACGCCGCGAGTTTCACTTTTCTTTAATTGGATTCTAAGCAACCCACATTATAGGCTCGCTCATGCCTCGCTGCTAAATCGCGTATATAATATATTTGCGATGTATCGCCTCGCGCCATATACATCAACCGATAGAGCCGCTGCCGCTGTGGCATTTATGAGCAATTATTGCCGCGCGCACGAAGCGGTGGCAGGTGAAATATATATCACAATAATAACAACGATGCATTTTCATTTTCATTAATCGCTCTTTATTTTCCGCAATTGCAGGTCAGCAGCAAGGGCTTGAAGATCATACAGACGGTGCATCCGGGCGGCTCGACGAGGCAGGCCGTCAAGCATCTGGTGCCGGGTCACGCGCTCCTCGCCGCGGTTCAACGCGAGGACGTCGTCGCGGCGACCCTCCTGCTGCCGAATCCAGCCAGCAACAATCCCGTACACGTGCACGCTTACAGGTACGATAATACAAACAGTCGTAATATAATGTGTAATGTATATAATTCGTGTCATACACACACACACACATGCACATAGGTACGTGCATATAATTATAACACACATTTCAGCTCGCGCGCGATTATCGTTATAATTTCTGCCCGCGTATATAGTTCGTTCGCGAAAACGCGCGCGCGCGCGCGTAAAGCAGCATTATGATGTGTAATTTCGCGGTGGCTAATTATTCCGATTAAAATCTCTCTAACTGTAGCGCAGCGCGCAAATGTTTATACGAGCGTGTAAATGTGCCAGGCGCGCGTGTGTATCTTATAATAATGCCGTGACACGGTGACGCGCTAAAACGAGTCGTGTGTATACGCTAGGCGAATTATGCATATACGCGTGATATTTTAATGTTAAAGCGGGACGAGCAAAACTGCTGCACGTCGCTGTACGCGCGTTTTTGTGCTGCATAAATGGCGCATTTTTCAATCGAAATTAAGGTGATGCCTTGGCCACAATTTTTACCGACCGAGCACAGAAAATGTATATTTTCGTAACTTTTTTTCCAGGCTGATATTCGAAAAACGGCTCTGTGGAGCCCTCCGCATTGTTGCTGCGAACAACTGTGACAAATTTCAGTCAATTTCATCGGATAGTTTTCTCGGAAAACAGGATCAAAATTTTTTATCCTGCAAACAGTAATCAAAAATTTCGATTCTGTTTTCCGGAAAAACTACCCTATGAAATTGGCTGAAATTTGGTGCAGTTATTCACAGCTACAATACGGAGGGCTCCACAGAGCCGTTTTTCAAAAATCGGTCTAGTAAAAAAGTTATTTCAATTTACATTTTTAATGCTCGGTCGGTCAAAATTGGGGCTTCGGCATCACCTTAAAGAGACAAAAATGGAGCAAAAATTATCTAGTACGGACTATTTCTTCGATTTCGAGTAAATAAAGAGCTAATTTATCACCACCATTTGTTTGGGAACGTGCTACACGATGAAGACCTGCGATGTTGGTATCAGCACATCGACATTCTTCGTTTCCGCCGCTAGATGGCCAAGATAACTAGAGAGTCGTATTCCCACAAGAAGGTTGTCCCCGTCAAAGCATAAGTCATAGCCAATTTCATAAATATTTATTCTTTATTTTAACTGCTGGGTTCTTGCAAACGAACAAATTTTCGTCTTTCACGGCTTTACTTCTCGTACCGAGTACTCCTCAAAAGAAAATTTCCTTCTCCCCCCAAAAAAAAAGGAACGGCGATAATCGTTACGTCAATCAAAGCCGTTTGCGACCGAAACTGCATAACGAAACGACGAGACTTCGACGAAGTCGTGTTGTACACACTGTTGTACACACGTGCACCTGTTGCGCGAGCCATGCTCCGCGCTTGGACATTCTTCGTATACGCGTGCGCGTATGCGCGAGGATAATAACAGAGACTCCGCCCTGTTATCGATCGTATATTCCGAGCTCGCGCAGCAGTAGTACAGCCTTTGAGACCGGTCGCTATACTCGCTGCTGCTGCTGCTTCGGCTGCTTTTTCGATGCTTTATCGCGCGCGCGCGCGCTCGGCAAAAAACCTAACGGTATCAAAATGGCTTCGAGCTCGTAAAGCACACGGCAGCCAGCAGGAGAGTAGAGAGAGATCATTTTTCCTTGTCCTCTTGGTGTTTTTTTTTTTTTTAACTTCGCGGATGGATGCAGTGTATATAAAAAATTTTTTTCAGTCATTCGATTGCAGTAGTACAGTGTATATATAGCGTACTAACGAACGCAGGCCTTCGAACGAAACGTAGTACGGACTGTTCAAGTTCAAGTTCGCGCGCGAGACGGGAGCCTTGTAAACTGGCTTGTATAGGAAAAACCGCAGCGTAATTATCGCTTACGCACGATACACGATATATACGCGTTTTATTATTATCGTTACTTTTATTTAAGAAAAAAAGAGAAAAAAAACAACGACAATAATTGCACGTTGGAGTACTTACACACACAAAGAGAGTATACTCGCGCGCAGCTTACGCCTCCGTTGTCATGGGGGAGGCGAGTGCAGCGCAGTATACGCTCGACTCATCCTCCATACTCTTTTTCACTCATAATAATTTTATCCATTATTGCCCACCACCACCTAGATGCGACTCGGTCGAGACGGCGGAGCTGCTCGGCGGCCAGCTCAAGATCCTGGCGTCGCACAGCGCCGAGAGTCTCGCCGCGCGGCTGGGCGTCCCCGGGAGCAACAACAACGGCATCCTCGGCATCACCAACGGCATCACCAACGGCTGCACCACCACCGGCACTACCACGACGACGACCAACGGTGGTGGTGGCAGCGGCTCGCTGGACTCGCGACTGCAGCGAGGCAGCGCCGGTAATCTGGGCAGCGACGGGCGCAGCACGAGGGAGAGCGAGTCGAGCGAGGGTAGCGGCGAGCACCAGACGAATCGACACCTGCCACCGATCCAGTCGACGACCATCTACGAGTCGCTGGCGGCTGAGCTGAGGGCGAAGCTCGGTAAGACATTCCGCGGATAAAAGCGCAGTTTCTATATCGACGTTGAATTGAATGGAGAAGTTTTAGTCTTCGTGGGGAACGTCGATTTATATATAATATAATTTCGTAACGATGTCAGTCGCGTCGACGCAAACACGTGAATATATTTCAATACGAATACGTCTGAGAATGTGTGTGCGCAGTGCTTGCACACGACGTGCGCCTAGTTTTGCATGAATCGTGGTGAAAACAAAAAAAAATAATCATGGCTCTCATTTGCCGCAGCTCGCGGAATAGGTCACATATAAAACACAACGTGTACGTATGTATAATACGGAAGATTGACGTTTCAATTCGTGGCCATGTATCATTATTAAAGTACCGTCGTCTCGGCTCGCTGCTGCTCCGCGTGCACTTTTACTTTCGCACAGCGCAGCAGCTTATAAATGCGCAACGCGCTCCAGTGTGTGCGCGCATATGTTATAATAATGTTGAAAAAAGAAGAAGAAAAAAAAAACGAAAACTCGGTACGATTCTCACACGTGTGTGAATGTATCCGAGCTATATATACAACGAGCACACACGCGATATATAATAATATTACGATGGCGAAGAATAATAATATAAGAGCGCGAACGATTGCGCGGTTACGGGGTTACGCGACAAAGAGACACAGATACACGCGCAGCAAGGCTCGCATGGTAGTACAGTACTGCACACACACACAAATTTAATGTATGTGTATGTATGGCCTGGCGCGGGGCTTTTATCATCCATGAACGATCGTATATTACGGCAGAAAAACATAAAAGATACGCGTGTCCTCTCTTGCGCATACTTGCCTGCTGCTGCTGCGGGGTTGTGTTGTATATACGTTGCATTGCGCGTTCAGACACAGACATACATCTCTCGGTGCTCATACTCCGATCTCTTTCGTACAGATAAGATTCATATGCTCGAGCAGGAGTTGCGCGACGTTTTTTGTTTGTTCTTTTTGCGAAACATACCGCGCGTATTATATATATCTGATCTTTGGCGATCGATAATATCGATTCAACCGATCGGCGCTCTTCATACATAATATATAATATTCTTTTTATATGTATTCGAGTGATGTATTATATAGCTGTAATGTATGTAAAAATTCAGGTCGAGGCAACGCGGCGGCGGACTGCGACGCGGGCCCGATACTGCTGCCGCCGCGCGATTACGACACGATGCACCGGGCGCGCGGCAATCTCGCCGGTATCGAGCTGCGACGCTGCCTCAATCAGACGATCGTCGGGCCCAACGTGACGACGACGACAGCCACTACCAATAACATCAATAATAATAATAACGCTGCCGGCCAAACGACGACGCAGACGCAGACGCAGACACCGGTGATAACGGCCGACAACAACAGGCCGACTTTGGCCACGATGAATACCGGAGGAGGAGGAGGAACGGGAGGCACGAGGAGCGCGGCGAGCAGCGGCATCGGCTCGGACAGCGCGGCGACACCGCCGCCCTATCAGCATCATCCTCATCATCATCTCAATCATCATAATAATCATCATGGCAATCATCATCTGCACCATCACGGCGGCAGCAGCGGCGCGCTGTGTCCGAGGCCGACCAGGCCGACCAGGGACTCGTCGTCCGGTAAGTTTCGCCAGCTGTATATAAATAGTAGTAAGCTCAATAACGATTATACTCGTATAGCATACAAATTGTACCATGAGCAACGACGATTCTCTTAGCTCGATGATAGCTCTGCTATATAACACAACGACTGCACTCGAGTACTAACGAGACGCGCAATAATCTCCTTCAATTAGTCGCTCGTCGAAAGTCGAGTAGGGGAGAGCTTTTCACATTCGCGCATCGACGTATGTGTCGGTTGTCGTATACGCGACATTCGACCCTAACAGACACGCTATTTTCTCTCGGCGTAACATACCTATATGTATCGTCGAGAAAAGTGGGTTAATGGATCATCTCGCTCGACGTGCTTATATGCACACACAGCACAACGCGCACGCGTGTGTACAATACGTCTATACGCGGGCGAGTGCGCAGCTATATATCGCTGTTCGTTGCGATGACGAGCACCGATAGAAAGTGTCCGACTGTATGGTATATACCGACGCGTACTGCCCTGGACGGCCGCAGCAACAAACAATTTCCACGTCGAGATGATGATGATGACGGTGATAATGATGAGGCGCAGTGATTAGAACGCGCGTTTATATAGCACACGTGTATACATACGAAGCTGCGAAATTTCGCACGCTTTAGGTTTACCTTTATATGAGAGTTATGCGCATCGGCTCATTATGTAGATAACCCTTTTTTTCCTTGCTTTCTTCAAATGAGATATATAGGCAAAAAGTCGTAAAAATTCTTTGTATAACGGAGAATTTTCGTTTTTATCCAGCTAAAATTCTGTAATTTTCAAGCGTATATACATAAGATAGGATATAATTCTAATTGCTCTCGAGGGGCTTTTTGTTCGACGAAGCCGCCGCCGCGCTCGTATCATTATGTTATGAGCCTGTGCGCGCGCACATACACGAGCATTGGGAGTTTTTCTACGCGCGTATCTCTCACATATACGCGTGTGCATATTGTATATATGTACGGCAGCGGCTCCGATATATACTAGTACCTGTGTGTGTGCTTTTCATTTTCATATACGCGAGATCCCTTACATAATAGCCGCCTCTGTATACGACGACGAAGAAAAAAAGCTCCAAGGAAATAATTACATAGACCTCGGCAAGGAGTCGTTGCAAGTTCAGGAGATAGGAGTAATCGCGCGTGGCACACACACTACACATACATAAAATCCGCGTATATACAATTACCAGAGGGCTGCTCGGTGCAGCTTCTTATATAGCTGCTGAGGTACGAATAAAGGTGCAGGTATAATCATTCGCGAAAGCGTTCGTTTATATATGTACAACAACGATCGAAAAGGGGGTATCACACCTCTCATTACACACACCCAGGAGAAATTTTAATTAAAATAAAATAATATCGGTCAGGCACGCGCGACTCTCTGCAAAATCCGACAGAGTCGTTAAACGCTAATAGACGTTAAAATACTCGAGAGAGAGAGAGACTAGATTTTACGATTGCATAAAAGCGCGCGACTAATTTGAACCGATGGAATCTCTCTCGAGTCGAGCACGAGTACCTAGTAGTAGTAGTAGTAGTAGTTGTAACACGCGCGTTATGCTTATATAGCATTGTCGTTTCGTATATTGTATTATATATATCGGATGATAAAGAAAAAGTCAATTATATACGCTGCAGCGAAATTTAACGATAATCCCCCCGTTCGGAATCGTCGTGGTCGTCGTTGTCGCGCCGAAATATATATTATAAGCTGCAGCTCACGAACGCGTAAAATATTACGACGCTGCTGCATCCGTGAAAAAAATTACACAATTGCGCCGAGATCCTTTACAAAGAGCCATACCGGCGAGTATGTAACTAATTAATCGCTGGTGTATATATGTGTGTGTATCATAAAACGCGTCGTAACGGTGGCCTCACGCGAGAAAAGGGAAGGCGCGCGCGTCCGATATTACGCAAAAAAATGCAAAAAAAAAAAGAATACAGTACGTATGCAGCGACACGAGTGTGCAGCTTATACGCGATAATTAGTACTTTTCTTATACCGGCGCACCGGAGAAAAGTGGCTCCCCGGTTTACGCCGCTCTCGGTCCGCGCCGTTGCACCATATATCTATACATGTAAATTATCCGCGCAGCCTCCGCGCGCGCCGGTGCAGTATGCAGTAATTTCCCTTTGCACATCCACACACGGAGGCACGCTTGGCACTGCACTGCACATACCCACTCGAATTTCTCGTTTTTCGTTATATATACGCGCGATCGCGTATATAGTAGCGCGCAGTGCAAGGGACGTGAAAGTTGTTTTCCGACGTGTAAAAGTGGCTTCGAAAAGTGGTTGCTACTATAGATATGCGCGCGCGCGCGCCTTTTTTTTGTTCGTTCGTTCGTTCGTTTGTCGTCGTTGCTGCTGCTGCTCATTGTAAAATACTAGGTCGCTCGCGGTGAGTTAGCTATTATAGGCACGCTGCAGCACACACACACACAAAATACCCATCGAGTGGGAGTAATTAAAAGGATGAGATTACTTAATGGGCGACACGTATTTGTATGTATAAAGAGTCGTGCTCGTGTTAACCATTTTCTAAACTAGATTAGATGCCTCCCCCCGTTGCTGCTTGCTTTGCCGATCGCGCGAAGAAAGTCGGTGCACTATATGGAATATATAAAGCGCGCGGGGGACTGTACATACATCTACTCGCCTTTGTGCGCCGTTCGGCGCTTATATGCATATTTTATTTTGATAAGCGAGGAAAAAGCTCCTATTTTTTTTTGCGTTTCCGCGTGAAACTTTCCTCGCTGTGTACGTATATGTATATTACCGATCGCAGGCACGTTTCGCGCGCGCGCGCGACGTTCCCACGCATCGCGGTCACCAGTGTGCAGCTTGGAGTAGCTGGTCTAGTCAACAACAACATACAGAGAGAGAGATAGGAAAAAAAAAGAAAAGTAAAACTGGTCCCGGCGTAAAAGAAAAAAACAACAGCAGAATACAAAAGAAATCGAAGAGAGCAATTATCGGCATTTTCTCGTGATCTCGAGAAGCTCTCGCGTGGTATATAGTGTAGCTGTCGCGTCGAAATATCTGCTATACGATAATATTGCACATGCACCTCTATGAACTCTCTTTTTTTTTATCTCCTGCTCGCGTTTTTTGACTCTACTGTTATAATAAAAGAGCTAAAAGATCGCGAGACTTTGACAATGACTCGCGGTTAATTTCTACCTCCTATATCCTAATGATATCAAGTCGATTCATATCTCTTTCGTATATGTCCAAGCTACTGCTCCTATATATACAGTCTCTAATACGTTCACTTGTGTGGCGGCGGCGGCGGCAGCGCACGTGAGAATATCCACGCGATTTTTTTCCTCTTCGCTCAAGCCGCGGAGACTCGAGAAAGTCCTTGTGTTTATAAATGTTTCTCTCTCTCGAGCGCTCGATGAATAATAATTTAGGAGTTTTCAAAATGATAATAGTCGCGTGACGTATTTTATATATATACGATCAGCGCGAGTGAATAATTTAAAGGGCACCTTGCTCGTGGACGCATATAATACATATACAGTACGGTACCGTTCCGATCGCCAATAGCTACTACACATACACGCGTGCGTGCGTGTGTGTGCACGCATAAAGCTTGCGGTTTTTACGATATGTATACCAGCCTCGCGAATAAATCAGGCTCGAGACTCGAGAGAGAGCCGCGTATATCACACACGCACACATATATATATGAATCGAAATTCAATTGCGCCCATAATTGGTAATACGTATTTGCGGGCGCTGCTAAAGCGGGAACGTTTATATACGGTATATATATTTTATATTATATTATTATTATACGTCAAGCACGCGCACAGAGATAGACACGAGCCGAGCACCTGTTATGCTCTTCTTTAAAGTATATGTACACACGCACACACGCGAAAATCGTCTCGATATTATATAGCCGCGAATAGTTCGGACTTTCGTGCGCTGCATGTGTGTGTGTGTAAATACCGTTAGTATAATATCAACGTTTATATGTATAAAACACACACACACTCGGACACACGCGTGTAGAGCCGGTGCAGCAGCCTTTTTGCGGTAGTTATACAAACGTGCGCCCGCCGATTGGTTTGCGTGCGTGCTGCACTATAACACACGTGCGCAGCCGAAATGAGCCGATCGCGATCATCGCGCACTTTATAAGCTGCCCAGGCAGTAGCTCGCGCGTAATGAGCCTTTACTCGCGCGGCTCACTATTTTATATTGCTATTTATGTTTCTCTCGGCCGTTGAAAAAAAGGCGATTGGCCCGATCGCGTCGTCGAAGCGAGCCCGTGTCGAGCTTTTTAATTCGCGCAATAACGCGCGATTCGAGTCGCGTGCAGCGGGACGGTATATCCAATGTAATAGCTTGTGCGGAGCGAGCTGAACGGTGGCTGCGTTGTTGATTCATCCGATTGGTAAAATTGTTACGACTATTGGAACTAAGAAAAGGTTGTGGTCTCGCGAAGCTCGTTGGATGAGATCCGTGTTGAGGGAATGAAGGGCCACGTTTCACCTCTCTGTACTAATGTCACTACTTACGGAAATTTTGTATCGACCATTGCAGTTTTTTAATCTTCCACGTGTACTAAAATCAGATGCGAGGATTGCCGGGCGATGTTGATGAATAATCATTGCTTCAATTGAAAAGTATTTTCTACTAGCATATACCAACTGGGAGCAGGTACTTGAGAAAAGGCTTAACTAATAATTGGAATGTTGGAAAGATGGGTTACAAAACAATACTTTCGAAAAATAATTGAATTCCTAATCTTGTTTATATTCATGTTTATTTAAGACAAAATTCAAGATGAAATGAATAACAATTTAACATATTTTATTGCTCTGAAAGTGAAAGATTTATCAAAATTACATCGAGCATTCAAATGCGCGTAGATGTCTTCATTATGTTCACGTGTTTCAAAACAAATCTCATATTTTGTGATTTTCTACGATCATGTAATGCATTCACGTGACGTTAAAGATTTT